ACAAAACCACCTGATTATTATTTACACTTTATAATTTAAGTAGAATCAAGGCTGTAATTTCTATGGTCTATGGTGCTCTTTACGTCATGGGTCCGCCCCTTTAAATCTAATTAAGCAAAACCGCCATGGATTTTTTAATTTGTCAATTTCCTTTCAACATTGATGGAAAAAGAGAAAATAAAAAATTCCAGTTTTCCCTTGCTCTTTATTCTCTAAAACTATTTTAGGTTTGCCAATCAATCATGGGTCCTCCTAGTCTCGCTTCCTGTTATTAAAATTAAGCACAAAACACCATTTTTTTGTTTATCGATTTCTTCTCAAGATAGGCGAGGTAAATCGATTAATTCAGGCTTGTCCTATCGTCCTAACGGTCTAAAACTATTTCGAGTTGTCGGTCCGTCTAGTCTCGCTTCCTGTGTATTTTATTAAGCAAAACACGACATGGATTTTTGTAATTTATCAATTACTTCTCAAAATTTGCGAGGAAAATCAATGAACTCAGGCTTGTCCTATCGTTCTAACGGTCTAAAACTATTTTGGGTTAGATTATCAACCGTGGGTCCGTCCAGATTCGCTTCCTGTATATCTTATCTAGCAAAAAACGACATGGATTTTTGTAATTTATCAATTCTTCTCAAAATTTGCGAGGGAAATCGATGAACTCAGGCTTGTCCTATCGTTCTAACGGTCTCTAATATATATATATCCAGTCCAGATTCGCTTCCTGTCTAATTTTATTTGAAATTAGATAATAAGTACAGGGATCTGCCTAGTGTCGTTAACTACAATATAAATCACCAAGCCAAACGCCACGGATTTTTTAATTTGTCACTTCCTTTCCAAAATTTACGAGGAAATCGATTTATTCAACCTTACTTACATCCTTACTTTCTACATCTATCTTCGTTCTGATTATCAGCCGTCGGTTCACCTAGGCTCGCTGCCTTTCATATATTTACAGTCTAAATTTATCGACTATATATTTTACATTTTTGATTATTTGATTAGAATCAAATCAAATGTTATTATGGTCTAAACTTATTAGGGGTTTGATTGTCAAAGGTCCGCCAGGTCTCGCTGCCTCTTATATATTTACAGTCTAAATTTATCGACTACATATTTTACATTTTTGATTATTTGATTAGAATCAAATCAAATGTTATTATGGTCTAAACTTATAAGGGGTTTGATTGTCAAGGGTCCGCCTGGTCTCGCTGCTTAAAAAAACTAAACCTACTTCCAACTTGTCAGAATTCCAGCCTTATCATTCATATTATAGATCCGATCGTCAATGTCATAGGGTCCGCCTAGCCTCGTCACGTTTTCAAAGAGACCAGCTATCAAAACATCACCCTGAGCTTAGGAAAAATCAATTATTACAAGTTTGTTCCTTGTGCATTGATTTTTTCGTCTCTCTCTCTCTCTCTCTCTCTATATATATATATATATATATATATATATATATATATCCTCTCTCTTTTTCTCTTTAATTCAAATCAGTCGTTATTCTTGACATAATTCCGTTCCAAGAGTTCGGGCTTGCTTGGTCTCGTTCTGTCTTCTTTAATTTTATTAAGCTACGGAATAAATTTAAGATGTTAGATAAATTACAGGTAACCTTGTCAAGACCGGAATGATTTTTTTTTCCATATTTTCCGCATAATAAAATCAAATCAATTCTATGTAGAGCATAGTAGACTGATATACACCCATGATTAACTGACACTGTTTTATTATTTTCTGTGTTAATGGTTTGCGGAATCATTTGTTCCACCATATCGTTTTCTAATGCAAAACCGCATACTTATGAAGAATCCTTCGAAGATATTCCCCGGCCTTTATCTTCAACCAAGCGAGACGCCGTTAAAAAAAGACCTAAAGAACCGTTTCATATTTTTTTTAAAATAGGTTGTATAATCTTTAATTGAGCAGAAAAATCCTTTAAAAGACAACAAAATTTTTTAAACCAAACCAATGTGAAAAATAATCCAAAATAGATAGATTACCAAAGCCTATGACATAAACCAAAATGTACCGATTATCCATCGGAGATAAGGCCACAGATTTCCCTATTAGACCAAAACATAATGCTGAACCGACAAAGCGAGATAAAACGGACCAGAATGAAAACTTTCCACCTGAATAACTTACTAATTCAAAAAAAAAAAATTAAATAATTTAATTTTTTTGTCACTTTTGTAATTCAATTTTTGACTCTTCACATTATCTTATGTTGATTCTTTTTAGGTAAACAATCCTTGATACTTAAATTTTATTATGAAATTCTTCACTCGACATCATCAATATTATTTACATCTCTTCCTTTAATTTAAAAAAAAAGCCTTAATTCACTTGTATGGCCTAGTGTATGAGACCAAATTTACTACCTAACAAATTTTTATTTGGGCTAGTTACTTCAAATTTGTCAAAGCAAGCAACAATTCCCTTTTGAAAATTGCAAAATCACTTTGAAATGCAAAAACCTAACCCTGCCTAACCCTAGCCTAACTTGTCCCCTCCTTAACGTAGCATAACCCTAACCTAACTCTAATCTGTGCAGTCACTAATCTAACATAGCCCTAACAAAACTCAAGCAAAATTCAACCTTTTCCAACCTAACCTAGCATAACCCTAATCAAACCTGAACATAATTTAAGCTGTACCGTCCATAAACTAACATAACCCCAACACTGCCTTACCCTAACCAACTCTAACATAATCTAAGGTGAACCGTCCCTAACCTAGTATATCCCTAACTGTGTCTACCCGAAGAAAGCCTAATATAATCTAACATTAACCCTAACCAATCAGTAAGATAAACAAACCATAACCTAACATAGCCTTAGCCATATCTAGCCCAACTATAACCAAACTCTAATATAACACTTACTCTACCTAATGGTCTGAAATGACCCAGGACTAATTATGGATAAGAAACTAACTTTTAATGCTTATATAAATAAAACCAATGATGTTGTATGCGAGCCCCGTTTGCGATCTTACCTGCACAACTAATTTTAGGAAACTTCAACGCGTCCAAAGTAGGATCCTAAAATAAGTCCTTTTGCACGAAAAAGCCGTGTTACCTTCCAGTAGACGAAAAAATGAAATTGAAAACAAATTAATTTTACCTGCTCAAGCGCAAATTTCATTTGCAGACCAATAGGCAATTATGACATCGATGTACCCTGCTAATTTAATGCAATGTAAATAGTAAAAATGTTAATAGAAACTCTTATAAAGTTTACAAAGCCCTGTTGCCTTTTGCACTTCAATAAAACATTTTCTATATTCCACTACTTTCTACTGTTTTATTCAATTACAATATTGTTATTAGTCCAATTGGGTAAGTTTGGTATCATGTGTCCGCCCAGTCTCGCTGCTTGTTGTAAAATCAAATCTATAAACCGTTATTTTCCGTTATCCATATTTTGAACTACTGTTGAAGTAGGATCAAACCTTAATAATTGCTAAATTCATTAGTTTCGTGGTCCGTTTGACCAATTAATATCTTACAATTAATTAAGGTTTTCAGTTGAGATAAAAAAGTCAATGGCACGAGCGGGATTCGAACCCACGATCTTCGGCTTGATACGCCGCTGCTCTACCACTTGAGCTATCGTGACCTCTGAGGTCTTAGCCGAAGATCGTGGGTTCGAATCCCGCTCGTGCCATTCTTTTTTTTATCTCAACTGAAAATCTTAATTAATTGCTTAATGATTGCTATACGCTTTATGTTTGGACTTGATTATCACTGTCATGGGTCCGCCAATGTATGTTTAATTATACTTGTGCACAATTTAAATTATTTTTATTTATTTATGTTGAATCAATTGTGGGTTCAATTATCACTCGAATGGGCCAGCCGGATCTCGCAGCTTTTATCCGTTCTATAAAGACCTACTTATTCACTATTTGCTATGTAATCTATTTTTATTATTTAACTAGTATCAAACCTTATTGATTTTTTTTTGTACGACCAGATTTTCTGTAGGTTTTTATCAGGTCTTGTTTGCCTCGCTAACGTTCAAAACGATCAAAATTTTTCAATGTGATAATTTTTTTCAGATTTACGTGGAAAATCAATTAACTCAAGCTTATCCTATCGTCCTAACGGTCCTAACCGTGGGTCCGTCCAGTCTCGCTTCTCCTGTATATCTTATTAAGCAAAAAACGACACGGATTTTTGTAATTTATCAATTTCTTCTCGTGATTGGCGTAGGAAATCGATTAATTCAAGCTTGTCCTGTCGTCCTAACTGTCTAAAACTATTTTGTGTTTGATGAGCGGCCTTGAGTCCGCCCAGTCTCGCTTCCTCTTATTGAAATCAAGCATAAAATACGATAGATTTTTTTTTTTAATTTTTCACTTGCTTTTCAAGATTGACGAGAAAATCGATTAATTCTAATCTGTTCTTGCATTGATACGTTTTGAATTCGTCTTGCGTCTGATAAACAGCCATGGGTCCGCCTAGTCTTGCTTCCTGTTATTGAAATTAGGCCCAAAACGCCATGTGAATTTAAATTTGTCACTTTCTTTTCAAGATTGAAGGTAAAATTGATTAATTCGAGATTGTCCTTACATCCTTACGCTCTAAAACTATTTTGGGCTCGTTATCTACCATGCGCCGCCTAGTCTCGCTTCCCAGTGTTAATTTCTGTTACAATGACCGGGGGGTTAAAGGTTAAAACTTCATTTTATTTACTATTTAATTAGAACCAAACGTTACAATTTTTATGGACTAATTTATTATGGGGTTTGTTGCCACTTATGTCTAGTCCTGCTGTTTGTTGGAATTAATGGCCTTGATAAAAATTTCTTACAGTTCACAATGTATACAAATCAAATTACATCGACTAAATCCTCAATAAATTTATACTGGGCCTTTAGGCGTTCATATTTTGACTTGTCCCGTTTCTCCCAGAGGAAGAACGTACTTTGGAATAAACGGACTTACTTAACTTAAGAGTACTTTTTTATGCCATTCCGAAAAGACTCACTTGGTGGCAGGTGAGGAAGAGAGCGAGCCAGACGGCCACACCGGCCATCCACTGGGCCAGTTTCGTCTGGAGGAAAATCCCGGAACCAGGACCGCTCCACGCCACTATCGTCCTTTCCGTCACGTTCGGCTCCGTGGTAGACATGCTCTGAAAATAGAAAAGAAAAACTATGAGAAGTGAGGTGAACAAAAAAAGAAAACCTTTTTCCTTTAGTTTTGGAGCTTCAATTTTTTTCATACGTCGAAAACACTCCAGTGACATTAAACAGATAATAAAAATTCTTATATCTTATCTCAGAGTTTTAGCACGTTTGAAGACGTTTTGAACGTCACACAGAGGACACAATATAATCTACATATAATCCATGCAGTAGAAATGTTTCAGGTTTAAAAATATTGAAAATAAAATTCTTTTGGTCAGAATCTTATAGTGTAATTTTTTCTGACAATTTTTCCAAACGAATAACCAGCGATACAATAAACTAAATTAGCTTCGAATTATATAAGAAAGGTTCTTTTAAGTCAAATAATCATATTGATAATGATATTTATTGTGAAGATTCGCTGGGATCGATTTCAATATTGGTTACGACATCATATCAAGATTACCCATCATTCCATAACAATTTTAACAATTATACAATTAAAGTATTATCCTCGAAAATTTCCCAAGGTATGAGGTTTGAATCATTGAATTTAAGCGTTAATCTTAACGCTTAACGCAACGGAATTCCCAAAGACAGAATCAGTCTTGTCTTTCGTGAGAAACAACCCGCAAACCGGCTTTTGGATAAAATTGGAAAGGGTTTCAGATTCTCAAATTGGCCAGATAAAATTGGACCCAGCAGGGCAAATTCGGAGTGTTTCAAGTGAGGAATTAAGGCAGAGGGGTCAATCGATCGCGGTCAATTGGTTCGCAACGAGAGATTGACTGGTGTCGTTCGTGCCTAGCAAAAGATGCCTCAAGGTTCCTACAAATTGGACGGCTGAATTTTTCACAAGTGGCAAAAATCTACGGCCTAGGGAAAACCATAAAAAGTGTTAAAAAACACAGATAAAATCTTTAACAGAATCCTGCTTCACAAATCGACCTGAATCTAGAAAAAAAATCCTTTACTTTTAATTGTCTTATAAAACCTGACCAATTAGAAAAATTAATATACGAGACAAAATACTCAGACTGGCAAGTTTGTTCTAATTCTACGGACTTTTATGAGGATCATATTTGCTTTTTTAATTACTACCCAACGGAGATATACTGCCCACTCTACTACTACGCTTTGCTGATTTTATAGGCTTGCATAACCAATTCAACTACTTTAGAAGTGTGCCATTTCAAAGAAAATTAGAAACAAACAAATTAATACCATTTTTCTGGACAAGCGGTTGTCACAAAAGTATCAACTTATTTAACTGAGCTATGAAATATTTAGGCATATTTTATAAAAGATTGATTTTATTAATGTGATTGATTTTAAAAATAAATGTATATTTCAGGGACATTTCAAGCCTTACATTTATCAGTTACATCATCAATTATCAAAATTTTTTCAATATGATCCTAAAATCCTTCCTGTCAAAATGAATATGATTTATAGAAAAGAAAGATATCTATCCAGGATGACAATTTCATTGGGAGGCTAAAAAACCCCCTAGTTTTGCCTTATAGCTCCAACATGATTATATTTTACAACAATAACAAAAATGAGTATTTTCAACATTATAACGTGTCAGTTCAATACATACATTTTCAGTTCTATCATCAACGGCCAACCTTTTTAATATGGTCCTAGAAATCCTAAGGTTTTTACTTTACTGTCAGCAAAAATATGATTTATAGAAAAAAAGATGTATTTCCAGGATATGACATGTCAGTTCAACACATACATTATCTGTTCTACTATCAATGGTCGACCTTTTTAAAATCATCATAAAAATCCTAAGGTTTTGTTCTTATTGTCAACATGAATTTGATTTATAGAAAAGATATCTTTCCAGATGACATGTCTATTCAAGCCCTACATTAACATTTTTTCCATGGGATACTAAAAGCCCTAAAATTTTCCTTTATTTCCGAGATTTTTATAATACACGAAAAGTTTATTCCCAAGACTATAACATTTCAGTTCAAGCCGTACATTGGGGGGCTAAAAAACCCTAGTTTTGCCTAATTTCTCCAACATGAATATAATTTACAACAACAACAACAAAAGTGTATTTTCAACACTATAACATGTCAGTTCAACACGTACATTACCAGTTCTATCATCAATGGTCAACCTTTTTAACATGATCCTAAAAATCCTAAGGGTTTTGCCTTATTGTCAACATGAATATGATTTATAGAAAAGAAAGATGTCTTTCCAGGATGACATGTCAAATCAAGCCCTACATTAACATTTTTTCCATGGGATATTAAAAACCCTAAAGTTTTCCTTTATTTCCGAGACTATTATAATACACAAAAAAGTTTATTCCCAAGACTAACATTCCAATTCAAGCCATACTGTGTTTTTTTAGCCTCCCAATGAAAATATGTTAATGTACGCCTTGAATTGATAAGTTATTGGAAATAAAATTTTTTGTATCGGGTTGTCCGGAAAATAATGCAGGATTTTAAGTTTTCATTAAAAAAAATCTATATAAAATATTCTGTTTACGTTTACAGGATTACTCATNTTATTTTGATTAAAGAACATTGCTTTAAAGTAACTAGTTTCTTTTTTTTTGTTTAATACCAAAATCCTGCATTATTTTCCGGACAACCCAATAGATCATAATTATCTTGGAAAAAAGCAAAACTTTAAGGTTTTTTAGTGTCCCATGGAAAAAATCCTAATGTAGGGCTTGTATTGACATGTCATATCTCGGAAAGGCATCTTTTTTTTTCTATAAACCATATTCAGCCATTAACAGTTTTTCCAAGGGATACTAAAAACCATAAAGTTTTGCTTTATTTCCAAGATTATTATGGTCGACCTTTTTAATAAGATCCTGAAAATGTCAACCACTTACTTACAAAAAAGTAAGATGTTCAAATCAAACCCTACATGAATATTTTTTCCACGGGTTACTAAAGTTACCAAGTTTACCTAAGTTTTGCTTTATAATTTCTAAGATTATTATGATTTACAAAAAAAAATATATTTCCAAAACTATACATTATCATTTCAACCCTACACTACCTGATTTACCAAAAGTGATCAATTTTGTTCAATAGGATGCAAAAAAAAAGCACATGAGGTAAAAAAACTTTAATGTTAGCTTTATTTATTTTTAACTAATCGTATTGGTACTCGTAAAAAAAGAAAAGTAACTTTTTAATGTTCACTGTATAGAGACTTTTTACTGTAAATCAGGCTCGTATTATCATAAAACTAAATATCATGGTTACTTATTAACGATTAATTAATCTATTGTTTGAAATTATTTGTCGAAATATAGAACTAAATAATTATAATCATATGGACAATAAGTTATTTTTTCCGGGAATGAGTACTGTATGGATGTATTTATGTGTATGAATGTATTTATTTGTATGAATGTAGTGTTTGAAAGGATAAATAGAATATAGACATAGTTTGGGGCTGAAATGACCTAGATGTCGGAAGCCCCAATAAAATAAAATAAAATAAATAAATAAAATTTAAAAAAAAAGTTTTTTTAATGTTCTTATTGAATAATGTTATTCATGGTTAATATTTTTGTTTGATTATTCCTTTCTTTGTTAATAATCATAATCAAATCTAAAAAATAGCGTCCAGTCACTAATGATGAAACAGTTAAGTATAGGACTTGATTAACATTAAGTAATAAGGCAAAACGTCAGGGTTTTTAAAGAGCTATTGAACAAGGCAATAAGGTGGAGATAGAAATAGCGTGTGGTATGGTAAATTACCTTTCTCTTTTGGAAAATTGTAATCAAATTTGTCAATAAGGTTGAACTTCAGGGTATTTATCATGTTGGAGGGGAGCATTCATTAGTGTGAAATTAGTAGGGCTTGAAATGACATATTTCCATGGAAATGCATCTTTCTTTTTGTAAATTATATATTGTTTTTTGATATCCTATTGAACAATGCTGATCCTTGATGTTAGAACAAAACGAATGGGACTTTTAAATCTATGTCATAAGCTGAGAAGACATCTTACTTTGTTATAAACATAATAGTGACGATAATGCTAAACTTGGGTGTTTTTAGCATACTCCTAACATAACACAGATGATGTAAAAACATATGGAACATATGGATATAAAAACATATGGAGATATCTTTCATTTGTTGGAAATCATCATCGAATTGGCAGTAAGGATGAACTGCATAGTTTTTGAAATCTTATTGAACAGGGATGATGATAAAACATAACAAATTGGACTTTTTATGTTGTCGTAAATTGCTAAATCTTACTTTGTAATGAATCATAATATTCAAAGTAATTGGTCAAGCGGACCACGAAAAATAGTGAATTGACAGTAATCCTAAACTTGGGTGTTTTTAGCATACTCCTAGCATAAAATGACGGCATGACATGGACATAATCCTTTGTTTTTTTGTTTTTTGAAAATCATAATCCAACAGGTAGTAAGGCTGAACTGAGTTTTTGGTATCTTATTTATCAGGAGTTGTCAAAAGATGATAAAACATAGCAAATTGGACTTTTAAATGTTGTCGTAATCTGGGAAGACATCTTACTTTGTAATGAATCATAATATTGACAGTATGCTAAATTTGGGTGTTTTTAGCATACTCCTAGCATACAAAGATGGCATGACATCGGCAGAAACCTTTATTGTTTTTTGAAAATCATAATGAAATTGGCAGTAAGGCTGAACTGAGTTTTTGGTATCTTGTTGATCAAGAGGGATCACAGATGATGATTGTGCTTTAATGTTGTCATAACCTGGGAAGACATCTTACTTTGTTATAAATCATAAACATATCGAAAATAAAACTAAAATTGGGAGTTTTGTACAAAATTAATCACGACAAATGTGGGACTTGAAATGACATGTCATTTCTTGAAAATGAACGGGAGGGAGGTTTTTAATGACATTAGTTTCTTGCATGCAAGTTTTGACGTTTTCTCAATTATACGTTGTTTTTTATGTTCGGAGCTTAATTTATGCCGTGGAAGTTTGACTTGGTTAGAAATTAACCGATTTGAATGTGAACAATTGAAACCTGGAAGTGAAAGTCGCCAGGCAAACCGCCTTCCGCCTGTCCTCTGGAAACTTACCAACGGTGAATCCATCATCGTGGATGTTGCACAAACAATTTTGTAATCCTTTCGAGGAAGTGTTTAGACAAAAAATGTCAATTAGTCCAGTTCTTTATGTAAGTTTAAAACAATGTGGCAAATAGAACGAAAAGAATGTTTGCTGAACGATATGCCAAGAGGCTGAAGAACTTGACCTCGTAGCATATGTCTGCATACAATCGGCAGTCAAATCATAAAATAAGGACGACGTTACGGATAGGATTTATGTTTCGATCTGTTAATAAAATAATTTTAGTGTGACTTACGTTTTTCTTCTGTTATCCGTAGATTCTAGAATGAAAGGTGTTGTTGGATGGCTCAGGGGCTCCGAAGGCCCATCCGAATCGTTTGTCGCTGGCTAACTGCCGTCCGGTCGCGGTCACTGTCAAATTGTTTACGATCGCACAAGCATTTCATAAATTGACCTTTTTCTTTTGCTTTTTTTATGTCTGGGTCCCACTTAGGAACGAATGGCAAACAATTGAAACAGCATAACGGGAACACCAACACTGATGATCGACTTCTCTGGAACGGTGGCTCCCTCGAGTGACATTCGAAGAGGCGAACATGCGCAACCGAGTACGTGCTCCCACTCCACGTAGAAGCGGGTAAAAAAACACTTTTCAAAAAAATTTAAAATTCTTTCATACAATTCTTCAGAACTATTTAAAGTAAGCACTTATCAAAAAAATGAAACACTTTTTACGTACTAAAAACTTCCAACGTCTAACTTTAAAATTAGAAAACTTGTGGCATAGATGTACCTACTCGAGGACCGCCGCCATGATGAGCTTCCATTCATGTGGCTCTTTTTTCATAGAGCCCTTCAAAACTATTTAAAATAAGTATTTTTAGAAAAAATAAAACACTTTGGAATTAGTAAAAACTTCCAATCTCCAACATCAAAGTTATAAAACTATATAGGATATAGGATAGATGCGATATAGGAGCACCTACTCGAGGTATGATATGACTGCAGCCACGATGAACTTCCATCCATGTTGTCCCTCTTTCATACAATTATTCAAAACTATTTAAAATAAGCACTTTAAAAAAAAAAAAAAAAAAAACACTTTTTACTTAGGAAAAACTTCAACTACTACAACGTTCTATATTGGAACGATAATTCCATTATAGAAGTTGGAAAACTTGCGATATAGGAGTACCTATTCGAAGTATGATATGACCGTCATGATGAGTTTCCATGTAGCTCCTCTTTCATACAATTCTTCAAAACTTTAAAATAAGCATTTTTTTTAATGAAACACTTTGGACCTACAATTATTAAAAACTTCCAACGTCCAAATTCGAGGCTGGAAAATTTGCGATATACGAGTACTCGAAGTATGATATGACTGCTTCCGTCCATATGGCTCCTTTTCATACGATTCTTCAAAACTATTTAAAATAAGCACTTTTCAAAAAATGAAACACTTTGTGCATAGTAGAAACTTCCAACGTCCAACTTCGAAGTTGTAAAACTTGCAGTATACGAGTACTTCTTACTCGAAGTATTATATGACCGTCGCTATGATGAGATTCCATCCATGTTTCTCTACTCTTTCATACAAGTTTTTAAAACTATTTAAAACAAGCTATTTTCTTTTTACAGCTAATGCAATTCGGTAAATAGTAGTTCATGGGTTATTTATGATATCATAAGGTTCGAGGTTTGATCGATAACTAATAACCAAATCTATCTTTGATTTAAAATGCTTCCTTCTGTCCTCTTTCGCCAATTTTGTCTAAAATTGAATTTTTTTTAAATAAAAAAATCCAGAGGTTGTAAGACGATAATTGCCACTTTGTTTTGTGCATAGTTGATCCACTTTCACTGCAGGGTATGCTTTTTTAATTTATTGGCCTATTTTTGGATAGATTGACCACATCCGCTCATTGACGTCACGAACATTTTCAAACCCGGCCAGATGCATTTTTGTTTCAGTGCGGACCTGATCAAATTTGTTAACTTCAACTTTTCGAAATAGATTTTTTTTTTGTTAACTTCAGTTTAAAAGTGAGAGAGAGAGAGAGCAAAAAAGTCTTGCTTTGGAGTATTCCACAGTCGCTTTTATTATTTTCTTAAATAGTCCATGATGAAAGTCTCTCAAGATTTGATTCAGCAAGAGAAGAACGAGTAAGTGAGAAATCTTCTTTTCAAAGGAACTTTTTCTTCACCTTTATTTTCTTTCATTTATGATTTTTTTAAGTGTTTTACAATGTATTTAATAGTGGAGAAAATATGTGTAAATTGCTTTTTAAAAAATTCTCTTATATAAGAAAATAAGGCCAAAACTAAACTTTGTTACAATATACAGTTGTTAGTTTAGATTTCTGAATGTAAAAGGCTTAAAACATTTTATCTTGCTTTTTTTTTTGCTTATCCTTAGTTTTCCTTATTATTTTGAGCGATGATCTTCAAAAGTGTAGAATCGTTGGGCTCGTTTAGTTGAATTTCCAATAAATAAACACTTCATCTGTCATTGTCAGTAGGTCAATTTATAGTTTTAAGTTTATTAAATGTTTTATGTTGAATCTTAGGCTTAAAGTTATGTAAACGAAGTAGAATGGAAGGCACATGGCCCTCTGGCGATTTTTGATCTGGTGTCTGATCAGGAGTGAATAAAATTTATTGAATAGCTTATTTCAGCTATTTTTGTGTTTCGATAGAAAGTAGAAATAGCAAAAATCAATGGAAATTGTTTAAATAAATTGACATTATTGAAATTTGCCTAGTGGCCATGTTTGAAGGTTAGCGCTTTCCCTCCTGACGAAGTTTCTTTTGTCGGTTGTTCGAATTTAAATATATATTTTATTATTCTCATACATCTAAGCGTAAACGCGATTGTAGAAATGTTTTTTGACTTTTTTTTTCCATTTGGTAAAAATCGATGAAGAAGTAAGTTTGTCCTACGCGCCGGGTCAAACAGGCATTGTATTTTCATCACTTTCGTCTCTTTGGTGCTGGTCCCGATATTTTGTGAACCGTCTCGGTAACTGTTCAGGTATTATTTCAATTTTCTTCAAAATTTTAATTTCTATTTGGATATGACTTGAGTGAGGCTTTGTGAGGAAGCCGGTGGCCCTTTGAGAGAAGTGTTGAATTTTCGGTTTTGAGAGGTTCAGATAGTCAAAGGGTAAGGGTTATAAAAACGATAAGCCAGGCCAGTAGTGCCGATTTTGACTTAAAAATAAGGGAAGCAAAAAAGTTTCTATGTAGTATGTATTTTTTTGTGAATTATTGCAAGTGGTAATTTCCCATGGGAAGTCACCTTGCTCTTAGGACTATTATCCCCCATAGAGTAAAGATAATGAAGTAATTAAACGAATTAGTGGCATGGGTCCACAAGCCGTATCCTTAGGAATAATAATAATGATAATAATAATGTAATATTAAGTTGAGATGAGGGTTTGGGCGATCGGTCTCTTATGGGAAGCAGTTTCTGTGTGTAGGTCCGAAGAGATGGTGTACAGGTCGTCGAAGGCGGACGAGGAGGAGGAGGAGAGGGAGAGCCCGAGCAGCAAGACGCCACACAACGTGTTCAGGAACGATGGCAGCTTCTTGGAGATGTTCAAGAAAATGCAGGAGAAACAGCAGAAGGACAAGGAGGAGGTCGAGGCCGAAAAGTCCGCCGCCTCTTCGTCCAATACTTCTGCCGCCACCGCCCTGGGCCCTCTCAAGCACCCGTTCGTCGGGAAACGGCGCGGTGGTCGTGTCCTCCCGACTGGCAAAGTGAAAAAGGCCAAAGTCGAGGCCGACTCAGACGAGCCAGCACCGAAAGACGCCTGGTCCGTCTACCTGGCCGAGGTCAAGCGGTACAAAGAGACCACTTGTGAGGAAGATGGAAAAACTAGGCCGCTTGTCAAATAAACTTTTGAATAACCCTCCCTTCTAATTATAACTTATTATCGGGAGAATCTTTTTTTATTTAATTTTATTTTTATTTAATATCATTTGTAGATAGCACAGAATTCAATTTTATTATATATTACAATTAAGCTAAGCAATATTTTGTATTTTCTTTTTCTAAATAATTATAAAAGGTCTCCTTTTTATTATCAGCTTTCATCCCAATAAATACTTTCATAGAGGTCTTTAAAATTTAAATGTACTTCAAATAACTTCCACAGTTATTTAAAAGAATTCTACAATTAAAAGAATAAAACACTGATAATTTTTGGAGGCCTCATAAGTAATTAAATCAAGTATTAATTAATTATATGTATCATAAATCTCATATATTAAACTATCATAGGTTAATAAAATTATTACAAACATGATGTGATATTTATGAAATTACATAATTCGCTTTTATATAGGCTTTTTATTACAGTATATTTCTACCATAAACACCACTTTTCCATAGGCAGTCATGTCACATTTCTCGCATTTTTATTTATTTATTTTTTATTTGATTTTTAAATATTTGGAACAAGTTTATAAATCGATGCTTGACGTTGATAATGACTCAGAATTTCTCTTTGTGTGGAATTTTTCTGTTTCTTGGTGTATGCTGAATTTTTGTCTTTTTTTAAAATTTTATTTATTAATTTGTTTTAAGTATTTAATAGTCAAGTATAAGTCTGGGAGCGTTGATCTGTAATGCCATAATTTTCTTTGGCGTTCTATAATTTATCTTAAATTTTAATCTCCTGTTTGCACGATCAAAGTTCGGCTTATGCATATTCAATAGAAATTCACGTGTAAATGTTAGAAAATCTAGATTTATAAGGACAGTTTGCGAGTTCTTACTTCTCAAAATAAATCAATTGCTCTCAACAAAATTAGAAATTTTGAACTTTCTCTTTTGTTAAAAAATTGTTTTAAAAAAAATGTTTAGAGGAATTTGTGTCTAAGGAAGAGAGGGCTGAAAGGAGGTAAGTCGAAAGCGGGTTATTTCCTCCGATGACTATCTGAACCTCAATTTTAGGTATTCTTTTTAAACAATACGTTTCGTAGACGGCGTACTATGTTAGTCGTTGAATTGTGACATTGTTTTGTTTTCCTAGAATGCCTCCAATGGCCGTGATGGCATCTAAGACTGAAACCAAACAGGAGTTGCAGACAGCCCCTTATGATCCGCGATTCCCCAATCAGAACCAGAGCAAGTAAGTCCTAACCGTTTTAATAAAATAGTTTTGTCTTAACTTTTTTTTTCTTCGCAGGCACTGCTTTCAGAACTACATGGAATTCCACAGATGCAGGAAAGTGAAAGGTGAAGGATACGATCCTTGCAATTATTTCAAACGCGTCTACCTCTCTTTGTGCCCGAACAGTTGGGTCGAAAAGTGGGATTCTCAGATCGAAGAGGGAATATTCCCCCGTAAAATTTAAACAAAACAGTCATTTCTTGTTTACTTCTCTTGTAGTATGATAAAAAGGAATTATTAAAAAATTTTTTTCATTTTTAGTCCATTATCATATTACTTTTGTGTACAAATGTATAGTCAAAAGTTCAGATAAAATATTCGAATAAACTTTTCTCATACTGGTGATTGTAATTTTTTGAAGATATCGTCACACACTACATCAAAAATCTGTCCTGTAGAAAATAAAATTACTTTGCTTTATGAATTATGCATTCTTTAAAAATTTGACAATTTAATCAAACATACTTGAAAAGCTTCACTTTTCAAATTGTGTCCTGGAAAACCCATCTTCAGTTTTTGACTATGTGGATGTTGGATGAAAATTAGAATACAAATTGGTATAGGGGGGGGGGATGATGCTAAAAATTGACAAGATTTCCGATAAATCTATTCTAGTAAGTTCTTACGTTATAAAATAGAACGATTTATATTTAAATTTAAAAAATCCTGATCATCTTTCTTGAAATGTCAATAATAATATAGATTATAATTAATAAATGCATATTTGATTGCATGTACATATTCAATAATAATATAGATTATAATTAATAAATGCATATTTGATTGCATGTACATTTGTACAATTGTTAAGATGAAAAATTGACACATTTGACACCAGAGTAATGAGTATAAAATATACTAGATGATAATAGCAACTTGATTTGTAGGCCTGGTCTCTGTGGTTGAATCTCTTCTACAGTTACATTGTACGCAAATATGGCGCCAAAGTTAGGTGTTGGCGTCTACTGTGCTTTTTCGCAGAATATATACATGACTTGTTGTGTTATGCCTATCTTCTTGGACACCAACTCCTCCAATTAATTGAAACTAATAAATAATTATGAATAAATATATTAAAAAGTAAATACAACCAAACTGGCATGGCAGATGCCAAAAAGAAAAAAAACGAGACTAGACAACTTGAATAAAAGTGTCACATGGACAACATAATCAAATGCTTTTGACAGATCAGTATGTATGACTTCAACCTGGGACCCAAGTTTGATATTTTTAATAATAAATTCTTTAAATATTAATAAATTTGTAAGGGTTGACTTACCAGGAACAAATCCATGCTGAGCAACATTCACTGTTCTTTTTTTTAACCCTCCTCCTTTCCCAACTACACCTAAGGGAGATCCTATACTGGCAGAAGTGCCATACTCTAAACTTAATTCAAAAGGGCGCATGGGATTTGTTGTTTTGGGACTAAACTTCCCTCCTATTTCCTAGCTGGTTGCTGAGAAATTTGGAGGGGAAAGAGACTTAAAAAACTAGCTTTGAATTTATATAAACTAAATGGGTACTCCCTTGTTTCTTTCTCACATGTTAATTAATTAAATAATATAAGTAGGAGCTTAATTTAGTAACATATATAAGGTAAATTATGATCATATAGTCATACTTGAAACTTTTTCCGACAATTTTTCCAATATTCACCCTTATAAAAATAATTGATATACTACAACTTGATATGTTATAACTGATTCAAAAGGCTTTGGGACATTGTCAGGACTTGGAACATTATTATTATCTAAATTAATTATCCTTTTTATAAAAGGTCTTGGTCAAGATGAAAAAGTTCCTTTAATGAATGAATACCTTTATATTGTTGAGGAAAGTAATTTCACTGATTTCATGGATGCGTCAAGTATATTAATTATGAAATATTAATCCATTTATGTTTTAGTGGTCAATTGACCAAGTTACATCTTTCAATTAATTATTCTTTCTATGTAAGGCATTGGTTGAGATAAAAAAGCTATTGTCACAAGCAATTGGATTCTCAGCGACTTACAAAGTGGCCACGGGGAGCTGTTTTAGTGAAGTGATACTTGTTTTACTTATGAAATATTAATCCATTTACGTTTTAGTGGTCAATTGACCAAGTTACTTCTTTCAATTAATTATTATTTCTATGTAAGGTCTTGGTTGAAATAAAAAAGCCATTGTCACGAGCGGGATTCAAACCCATGACCTTCGGCTAAATGCACCACTACTCTACCACTTGTCCTATTCTGGCTTCAATCCTCTTGGACACCAACCTTCCATCTCAATCTACAACCTTTCGAATTTTACCTCTTTTTGCTATTTTTCAAATTATATCAATTATTCCATTTATATCAATTATATAAAAAATAAATTTGGATCATTGTCGCACTAGCTCAATTGGTTGGAGTAGCGGGGTATTGTGCCAAGTCGTGGGTTCGAATCCTGCTCGTGACTAACTTCTTCATCTCAACCAAGACCTTACATAAAAAGAATAATTAATTGAAATAATTAATATGGTCGATAAGACCACTAAACATAAATGGATTATTATCTAATTTTAACAATCTGTTTAGTAAGATATTCTCATGAATGTAACAAGAGAGGAGTGAGTGAATGGTTCAATAGCGAAATACCAAAAAATGACTTACAGATCAGGTCTAGATTCAAAAATTTGTTGGTTTTGATTAAATGTGGAATACTGAAGAAGTGAAGATTTAGGTTTTTTGGTTTTGAAGGTGTGACCACGAACCCGTTTTGAACGTTTGCGATGAGGTTCGTGAGGAGCGCTGCGTTCAAAATCGAGCCGATCAGTTGGTAACCAATCAACTGTTTTGAAATGGGAGAGGGCAATGGTGAGATAGTCATATTGGCCGCCAGCGGACGAAGAAGATAGGAGTCAGTCGTGAGAAACTCATCGGTTCGGGATGGCCTGGTCGGATTGGTCGGGCGTTCAGGTGCTGTCATCCTGCTTCCTCCTCTGGGTCGTGCCTTTCGCCGCTTTCCTGACGGCCGTCGAAGCCACCGGCTACCTGGTGCTGACGGTCCTCGTCTTCGGACCCCTCTGCAGCTATCTGGGCATCGCCTATTGCAGCGTACCGCAGCCTCCGGATTCGGTGGTCAGGGAGATCCTGGGAGAGCAGGTGCAGAGCAGGTCGCCGCGGTACCTGCCCTGCGGTGGGTCGGGCAAGCAGGACGCGGGACCGTCGACCAAGGACGTCAACAGGGTCATCGCCATCGCCCACCGGTTTGCAGGGATCGACGCTCCTGAAAATACAACCACAGCCCTTGATCAGGTTCGTTTACATTCCTTTACATACTAAAAAAAATCAGATTTTATCTTAAATAAAACCGCGTTCGCCGGTTTTCGCTTCCTTTGGTGCAGGTCACCCGCCTCCAACTCTCCTGCACTATAGGTCCATTTGGTATACCGTCATCCAACCCACAGTCGGTTGCATTCAGGTACACTGAGGCAAAAAAAAAAGCGGCTACCTACTTCTTTTAATAAATACTTAAAGCCAAATTTTAATTTTTTGTTGGATATTTTTAAAGAAAAATATGATAGCTAGATAAATTAAAAAAAAAAAATTAAATGAGCAAACCAATTTTGTAAAAAATTTCAATTAAGTATTCTTTTTATCTAAGGTCTTGGTTGAGATGAAAAAAATAGCAGGATTCTGAACCCACAACCTTTGGCTGGGTTCGAATCTCGCTCATGACACTGATATTCTCATCTCAACCAAGACCTTAGATAAAATGAATAATTAATTAAAATAATATTGTCAATTATGGATTTACAAATAATGGACACGATGAAGAAAATTTGTTGAAGTCGTGAGGAGCGGTCAGGAATGGAGTATTTTATCGGGTTGTTTTACATGAAATGTCCGATTTTATAGTTTCAGAAATTCTGAGAGGATATAGCAATTTTCTATTGTTTACTTCCGATTGTTTATATATTATAATTAAGCAGTTATTAATCCTACATTTTTGTTTATAATGATCCAATCCATTACATACTTTTTACTCTACCTTCAAATTATGAACATGGAAACATGTGATTTTTGTGTAATATTCCTTTATGGGTTTAAACTTGGTCATTCTGCAGCTGAGGCTGCAAGAAACATCAATAAGGTGTTTGGTGAAGGGAGTGTAAATGAACGGATTCGCCGTTGGTTTGTAAATTTTCAGAATACTGAATTGGAAAATGAGTCGCTTGTAAGTCCTCCAACTTTAATTGACAACGACGTCCATAAGCTTTGGATGGATGAAAACCACCATCAAACAGTCAGAGGGTTCGCAGCACAATTATAGCAAGTGCAGCTTGTCAAGATAATTAAGGTACATAGGAAAAGTCCAAATCTATGGGTCCCGTATGAGTTCACTGACCGACAGCAGTTAAAGCACCTTGAGACATGCGTTTTGTTGCTCATCAAGCAAAAAACTGAGCCTTTCCTTAAAAGAATAATCACTTGTGATGAAAAACAGATTGCATATGACAATCAGTGTCAGTCAGGGCAGTGGTTAAACATCGACAAAAGACCAGGCAATGTCCAAACCAAATTTACACCCAAAAATGGTGGTCTATGGCTGGAATTATTCACCGTTCCTTTTAGCCTAGAGGTGAGGCCATTACCTCTACATCGTACTGCAAGGAAATTGGCATGATGCGTAACAAATTACATTGGTAATTTGGAAAGGTCCTATACTCCTCCATGACAACGCCAGGCCTTTCAAAGCATACTGTAAACAAAGTGAAAGAATTTGGCTATGAAGTTCTTCGGCATCCACCTTATTCTCCGGACTTGTCTCTAACATTTTTCACCTGTTTAGGAATTTAGACGACTTCGTCAAAGGAAAAACTTTTGAAAATGATGTTCAAGTCCAAAAAACGTTTTTAGATTTTGTTTCATTTTAAAGCTGAGAATTCTTCAGTTCCGGCACAAAAAAGTTGGATAGGTGTTGGGAAATATGTGTAGAAAATGAAGGTTAAATACTTCGAATAAAATGATTTTGTTTTTTATATAGTGATTTCACTAAAAAACCTTTACCTTGGAAAAGGACATTTCATGTGAAACAACCCAATAGAAAAACACCTTTTTATCTGACGTTTTGGCCTTTATTGGGTCATCTTCAGGGCATAAAGTGCGGTGCTATTCTTGTGGTATCATATTGGTTTTGTAACTAAAGAAAATATTCAATTAAGTAAGGTGCATTTCCTCCTCTTGTGTTGATCACCGCTTGCATCTGACCATCGATTTTATGAGGTTTTGTAGTACTGTGGAATATTTTTATACTCCTCCAACAGCACCAGTCTTAATTAATGCAAATTCTCTGGCATCCCAGGTGTTTGATAGGGTTTAAGTTAGGTATAAGTCATCAACGATCCTAGCTCAGGGCCTTGCATTGTTATGCATAAATATAAAAACGTTTCCAATCAGTGGCATATAAAGAACAACTTCGCTTCAAAGCCTGAAATTTGAGGTGTTTCCCGGCCTATAATGAGAGTCTAATTTTTTACAACGTTATGGATATTCCGGCTGACAAATGAGCTCCCTGGACAATAAAGGTTCCTGCCAATTAGGAGGGGTTAATGTCAAACTACCCATTGAGTGCCACGGAAGAGGGGTCAAACCACTTTACAATATTTCTTTCATATTATTCTCAATTAAAAAACCATGGGCTGTACAGGGATTCGAATCCAAAACTGCTAACGAACAAGAGTCAGATGCAATAACCATTCAGACACAGCAGTCTCCAGGGTTTCCTGGACAAGTTTAACCGCATGTCCATGGAGAATTTAGACTGCCAGTAGGCTCTTTAAATGGTTTTTAAACACACTCCCCAAATGGGATTTGTATTAAATTAAATAGCCAAACAACCCTGAACAATTGAATGTTGGGTCATTAATTCAATCTAGTAATTTTCTTAAAATGATCAGGATGATATCTTTCTTTTTACATTCTTCATGTTTGAAAAGCAAGTATATGTTTGTATTTTTACTAGCCAAAGTATATTTTGGACCTGGCCAAAGCTAGTTGTTTCAGACATATTCGAAAGGTTCGAAACTATTCACTTGGAGGGCAGATATTCATAAAGCAACCCTTAAAAATATAAATTATACATATATTTATCTATCAAACTTTTTGTGTATGCTCGAAGCTCAGGAGTTTCATAATCTCTTCGTAAAGGATCAGGATTTTCTTTTACACTATCATAAAAAAAAAAAATTAATATTCTATGGTTTTTACATAATCTTAACTGGAGGGAAAAAATTGAAACGGCAACCCTAAAAAAAGTATACTTCAAAATTTTGGACAGAAATTCTACTGCTTTTATACTTTCAAAAATGGATTTACTGTATTTGTTTGGATGATATTTTATGGTATTGGCAAGATCTTCACATAGAGGGAAAAAATGTTAAAAGTGACCCTTAAAAAAAAAATTAAATTAAATTAAAATTAAAAAAATAAATAAATTGTGAAGATTCCAAAAAGGAGTCTTGAACTAATTTTGTTAGGGATTAAAATTCATTGTATTTATTAAGATAGGAAAAAAGAATTAATTAATTAAGCTAATTGTTGGGGAAAGCGTATTGTGTAAGATTCCTTGAATCCTGGGAGCCGACCTAGTTTTTCACGAAAACCCAGACATAGCTAAACAAAGCTGGCGGAGTAATAACACCTGGGTGTTTACAATTGCGAAATGTGTGTCGTTCCTGGGCAATTGCCGCAGAAATGTTTATTGTTGTGCTGACAAGTGGCCTTATTGTTCAACCCCCAGGATCCCAATGGCCGGATTCACCCGGAAAGGCTCAACAAACTAAGAAAAATGGGCAGTCGGGTGACCAGGAATCATGTTTTCTAAGCTTAACGGGTTCCCCAATTCCACCCCGACTGGTTGGCTTAGATACAATCCCAAAAGAATTAGGTGTCAAGAAGGCTGGCGAAGAGAAGAGGGGGCAGAGTAGAGCTGTAGAGACAATATTCTATGGTTTTTATGTAATCTTCACGAAGATGGAAATAATAAAAAGGCAACCCTAAAAAAGTATATTTCACACTTTTCTACAGAAACTCTACCATTTGTCAAAAATATTTTACTGAATTTATTTGGAAGATATTTTTTGAGATGATTGATTGAAGAAATCAAAAAGTGAATCCTAAATAAAAAAAAACCCACAAAACTCAAGGGTTTCACAATTGCTTGTATTTTATGTGATAGCACAATCTTCATCAGGAGATAAGAAATTAAAAATGTAATAAAAAAAAAATATTAAACCTTTTGTATATGTGTAAAACTCAATAGCTTTTTAATTTCCTTGCAACAATCACAATTGTAGTTAATATCATTCTGCTGACCTTTTCTCTGTTTCTTTTTTTAACATGCTTCTCACGTTTCATAAACAAGTATATTTTTGTACTATGATGGGCGGTTGTTTCAGACAATATTCTAAGGTTTTGACTTAATCTTCACTTTGAGGGAAGAAATAAGAAAAAATACTACAAAACTAACAAGTTTCATAATTTTTTACTGGTACGGGTCAGGATTTTCATTTACGGGAAAAATAATTCCGTAATTTCCTTGGTCATGTCAGGGTTTTATATTTTCCTTCTTGTGGCCATTTCTCAAGTATGTATATTTTGTGTGGTGATTATAATGGTATATTTTGTTAAACACATTTCACTAAAAGAAAAGAAAAAAAATTATAAGTATTTTTTGTGATATTTCCCCAAATGATAAGACCATAGGACAGACAATATTCCTTGAAACAGAGAATAGTAAATAATTTATTTCCCTTTCATCCCAGCCATACAGGTCACAGGCATGCGCTATGGAAGAGAATTCTCCACCCGAAAAATGGCTAAGGTATAAAACTGATGCCAAAAAAGTGTTTTCTTTTGCATGGCATTCAATAGGCGAGTCATCAAAAACTGGACATCAGATAGAATGTAAGAAATCAAATCTTTCATATAAATGAGGAAAAAGACATGGCCAAGGAGAGAACCTTGTGGTACCCCATTACAAGTTTTATATATTTTTTATATTTTACACATTGCCATCTCTCACATGAACAAATATTTATACATATTATTTTGTAAAATATTCTGTAGGTTTAAGATAATTTTTACATGGAATAAATCGAAAAGTTTGAGCCTGGAATAGTGGTCTTATACACGAAAAAAGGGTTAAAATAAATAAATTCTCCAGTTCAAAGGGCTCCCTGGCTTATAATTACATTTATTGCTCTGCATACTGCTTTCATGCTGGGAAGGAATGCTGTCTTGTTGGACCGTAGATCTTTGGGGCGGTGGATCTCTGGAGGCAATTTTTCTAATGACTAAATTCTTTCTCACTGCCGAATTTGAACTATCTGGAATCGCTTTCACTCACTCTAACCAACAGTCTGCAGTCAGTTTAACCCTGGCTAAGTCAGGAGCAGCCTTGGGTTGCAAACTTATTATGGGTGGGACCTTTCCCTGTGAGCTTTGGATGAAGGTTTATAAGTTTTGGACGAGGCTGTAGACCACCTAACTAGCATTACAATCGCTTAGAAAGAAAAATGACTAAAAATGATTCTTGACATTCTAAATTAAACATTTTAATATAAAGTATTTAAAAATATTTCGTTCTTATTCCCCCCAGTGTATTAAAAACGGGGCTAAAGCTGTCGAGTTCGATGTAGTTCTGACCGGCGACATGGTGCCTGTCGTGTTCCACGACCCGAAGCTTCAACGCATGACAGGCCTCACAGAGGACATAAGGAAGCTGCCGTATGCTCACGTGAAGGAGCTCAACGTATCCGTCTACCACCACTTCCGTGAGCAGTTTCCGAACACTTTCATTCCTACACTCAATGACGTGATCAAAAAATGCATTGACAACGATATGCGTATGATCATCGACATCAAGGAAGACCGTTTTGAGGTATTAAAATAATTATTACAAAAAAAATATAAAAAAATTGACAGATCGATATCTGATATCGCATTAAGGTAATTCTTTGATAGCTTGTTTTATTCCCTTGACCTTAATTTAAACATAATGACAGTAAATAATGTTGATTAATGATCTGTCTGATATTGATTTTTTTAAAAATATTTTTTCTTTCCTCCAACAGATTGTTGATATTATTCTCCAGTTATTCTCCAAGTACCCAGTTTTGTATAAACGTGCCGTTGTCAGTTCGTTCAACCCTTGGATTATTTTTAATGTAACATAAATTTTTATATATAACAAAAAACTCGTTTAAATCGAAACGTTAATTTTAATATTTTTCAGATAAGAAAAACAAACCCGGATATAGTCGGCGCACTGGCTTGGCGCCCGGCGTATATGTCCTGCAGTGAATACTCCCCCATAGATGAGAATTGCAAGGTGCACCACAACACTTTATTTATGTATTTCATGAGCCGTCTCGCCGATATGGCCCACTCGTTCTTCTTCTTCAACTTCGCTCACAGCATACTTGGCCTATCTGCTGTGCTCATTTACAAGGACAATATAACGATGTACGTTGACATTTCTGAAATGATTGTTTTTTTTTTTTTTAATAATTAATTTGTTTGTTTAGAGATATGATTTATTATTGGAGTAAGAAGAATGTTAGGACGATCGCCTGGACGGTCAATTCTCCGTTGGAAAAGCAGTACATGGTCAGGGAGCTCGGCATTCCTTACGTGACTGACACTATGCTCGGAAACGCCGATCAATAAGACTCCAAAATATATGCACAAAATTATTTTTAAGTACATATAAAAAAAATATTAACAACCAGAAAAAAGGGTTATTTTCTTAGTTTGCGCTTTGTACGGGGCTAGAGATGCACGGTTTTTTTATACTCTCAGAATATGATCTCACCTCCACTTCCTGCACTGGCAGGCATTTTGTACCTGAAATTGATTACTTTCATAACAAAATTAATTAATATATAATTAATTTTAAAAAATATTAAATAAAACGGGTACATTCCAACTTTGAAATATTGCTATGCTTCTTTGCATTTACGAGTCCAAAATATGTATAATTTACAAAAAGACAATAACATGTTCATCATTGTATACAGAAAAAATAAGCCTTTTTGTATAAAATAAAGGGATATTTCAACAGTTCTTATACCGTAAGTTATATTTCTAGAAAAAAAAATCATAAAAAAATATTATACATGTTTTGTACACAGATAGAGCAGAAAACTTATGTAGTGATATGTTTGAAAATATTGAACCCACCAAAATTCCTGTACCAAAGATGCTAACACATTAACAAAAATTGTGATCAGTATTATTATGTTTGTGAAGAATGCTAAGTGCCATATATTTTCCCCCAGCTATGATTTATGATTAGCGATATTCTAATTTTACGAGGGAGATTAAGAAGGAAATAAATTTATCAATACAATTACAATTTTTTTAATACATATCCTTTAAAAAAATTTCCCTTTGTGACATTAAAAAAACAAAAAATGCGTTTAAAAATTTTAAAAATATATATTTACATGTATTAAAGAAATAACAAATCAGATGTTAAGGGAGTAGAGGAGGCTAAAACAGGCCGTGCCCACTTTGACAGGCTGGCCTAGCATGAGTCTTGACGAGGGTGAGCGGAGGTCGTCGGTCTGCGCCCTTATAACCGCTGTCCTGAGGAAGCCCAAGGACGATTCAAATGACATCTGCTGCAGAGGCGAGGCGCTGCCTTCGAACCCGACACGGTTCAGCGGCCTGTAGACGCCGTGGAACGTCATGTAGTCGGCGACCAGGGTTAGATGTCTCGGGTCGACGGTGATCCCGTAAACTTTGAACACGTTTTGAACCTCTTTTACGATCACTTTCGCGGCTGCTTCGATCCCGTAAGTCTCAGCGATGGCATGTATGTCGTTGGAGTATAACCTGAAAAAAATTCATTTATACTCATAATGTTTTTATTTTATTTTTTATTTAACAAACCTATTAAGATCTAATATATTTGAGTAGTTGTAAATTTCACGCAGATTCTGCCCGTCAGTCTTAAGCATGAGCTCGCCTTCAGGGGTCTTCGAAGTAAACGCCCTCTTGATTCCTGAACAATTATTAAAATTATTTTTCATGATTTTTTTTTTTAAATGTATATTTACCCGGCACTTGGGTGATAACAGAAAGGCTTGCAAATTCTTTGAGCTTTCTTGCAATGTCTTTTTGACTGGAGGAAAGTGGAAACGCGATCTTGACTTCACACCATTCACCTTTAGTCAAGTCGTATCTATAAGGAAAAAAAAAATGTGCAACTAATGGTAAAACATTTTGAAATATGCCTGAGAATAATCAATCATGCAGGAAGGGTAGAGAAGTTGTTGCAAAGAAAATACATTTTTTATTAGTTTAGAACAAATAGTTCTGAAAAAAGCTTCACCAATAAGCAAGATTTGTGATATACATAGTTGTTAAAAAAGCTATATTGAATTTCAAGATTTGTGAGAAAGCTACATATATATCCAAGATTTGTTGTAGCGGGAAAGCACAGCTTTTCATTCATGTAGGATTAGTGAGAAAGCTGCATGGATGATATGCTGGATTTGTGATTGCGAAAAAGCTCAGCATTTCACAAAGTAGGTTTTGTAATAAACATAGTTCTTACAAAATTGTATGGATTTGCAAAATTTGGAAGTCTGTACATTCAGGATTTAAGAGAAAAAGAAAAAAAAACCACTGACATGCAAGATTTGTGAAAAAGCTGTAATGAAATGTTGGATTTGTGATAAAGCAGCAATGTTATTTAAAATTTGGGATATCAAAAAAGCTCAATTTTTATACTTGTAGGATGTGTGATAAAGCAGCAATGTTATTTAAAGGTTGGGATATCAAAAAAGCTCAGCTTTTCATACATACAGGATGTGTGATAAAGAAGCAATGATATGTAACATTTGAGATATCCAAAAAGCTAAGCTTTTCATAAATCCAGGAGGTGTGATAAGCAACAATGATATGTAAAATTTAGGATATCAAAAAAAGCTCAGTTTGTCATACATGCAGGATGTGTGATAAGCAGCAATGGCATGTAAAATTTAGGATATCAAAAAAAGCTCAGCTTTTTATAAATGCAGGTTTCAAAAGGTAGTCACTTACAAAGATGCTACAATATGTAAGGTTGGAGAGAAAGGTACAGTAATCCCTTAACATTCGCGGGGGTTTGGTTCCTAAAAATTACCGTGAATGTTAAATCCGCGAATGTTGAGTCTATTTTCCTATGTTATAAGGAGGGTTACGTTCCATGACTGAAAAAATTGTGATAAGTTTTAAATCAAAAGAATTTATTTGAAATACATTTGTACAAAAACATTTCCTTATCTATGTACATTAAAAATTAAATGTTTAACTTGTATTTTTAGACGTGGATGGAAGAAAATAGCTACTAATAGTTCGCTTTTTCGCACAAAAATTCAGTTCTTTCAGCATTTCCACATAAGGAATGGAAGCGGCCTCGACATCCCTTTTAAATTGTAAACTTCGATTCAATGATGGGTCCAAATCCATTGTCTTTTGAACAAGTTGGTCCCTTATCGTTAGAATTTCTCTGATCTGTTTTGCAGAAAAACTTGGGCCTGAGAGAAAATATTAAATGAATAGAAATGTTAAAAGTAAAAACTTGCCAGACTTACTCTTTTCACCACCCCGACTCTCATCTTCACTTTCAACTTCTTCACATTCCTTAGAGTCCTCTTCTTTTTGCAGCATCAGGTCTTCATCCGATAACTCTTTTTCATGAGAATTAAGCAATTCATCAATTTCGTCTGCTCTCATATCATCAAATCCTTCTCCTCCAATCTGGTGCGCTATGCGGACGATTTCTTTCTCCTCATCTTGAAGTGGTGGAAAAGCGTTATCTTTTTTAACCACTTGAGGCCATATCTTTCTCCAACAAGCGTTGATTGTACTTGGCTTCATTTCCTGCCAAGAAGCATGTATGTATTCAATGCAATTCGCAATGTTAAATTTCTTCCATGAGTTAGACACAGTTTCTTCGGCATTACACTCAATGGAATTTAAAATTCGCTTAAAACTGTGTTTGGTATAATATGCCTTGAAAGCTGCTATAACCCCTTGGTCCAGAGGTTATATCAACGAAGTCGTATTTGGGGGCAAAAAAATAACTTCCACATTTGGATGACTTCCTATTAAACTTGAAGGATGACCAGGAGCGTTGTCAATTAGAAGCAGAGCTAGATATTTTTTTATTTCGTTGATGAAAGAGAAATGAAACCATTCTTGGAATAAGGCACTAGTCACCCATGCTTTGGTGTTTGATCTCCAAAAAACTGGGAGCTCATCTTTACTTTTTCCCTTAAGGGCTCTTGGGTTTTGGGATCTGTAGATCAATGTCGCCTTTAGCTTGCAATCACCAGATGCATTGCACAAAGTAATAAGCTGATACGATCTTTGGCCGCCTTAAATCCTGGAGCTGTTGTTTCTGCTTTTGAAATGAACGATTCGGCATCTTCAAAGAATATTGTTGTCTGTCAGAATTTTTTTGTTTACTCAAGTGTTATTTTTCCGCGAATGCACAAGTCCGACCTTCCGTGAATGTTAAATCTTACCTCATTTTTTCATACGCGAATAGTGAAAACCGCAAATGTCAAACCCGCGAATGTTAAGGGATTACTGTACTCGGATATGTAGCATTTGTATTGGTGAAAAGCTTAGCTTTTCATACTAGCAGATGTGATAAAGCAGTAATAAGTATAATTTGGGATACCAAATAAACTTCAGCTTTTCATACATCTAGTATTAATGAAGCAGCAATATGTTGGAATCGAAAAAGCTCAGCTTTTCATACATCCAGGATTAATAAAGCAGCAATGATATGTTGGAATAAAAACGCTCAGCTTTTCTACATGCAAGATTTGTGAAAAAGCTACATTGATACTCACTTATATTCAACAATGTTGTCATCGGCTATAATTGATTTCCTTATACTCTTATTGATGGACTTATTCTACAAGTTAGAAATATTAGTAGAAAAATAAGAAGTATGATGAAAACGAATAAATACTTACTTCAGTTTTATCCTTTTCGTCTTCATCTTCTACCAATTCTCTGTTTTCTTTTTTCACACCTTCAACTTCAGCCCTGACGTCTTCATCTTCATCTTCCAAATCGGAATACTGCTGTTCTTCATTTTGCCTAGCTCGCCTCTTATCTGCTGTGGCATCGTCATCGTCGTTTTCCGGTTCGTCGTCCGATGACTGATAATTGTCCCCGGTACCGGCGAGTTTCTTCTTTTTCACTTTGCCTCCTTCTTCCGGGTCGTCTTCGCCCTCTTCGGCCTCTTTGTCCAAATTCTCCATGAACTCGGAATTAATCAGCTCCCTTGCCTTTCGACCTTTTATTCTCAAGTACGTGAGGAAATCTTTGAGGAATTTCCTCTCGACAAATCTGAAAATATTTATATAAAAAGATATTTTATAATTCACTAATTTCGTGGTCCACTTGACCAATTAATATATTACAATTAATTAAGGTTTTAGTTGAGATAAAAAAGTCAATGGCACGAGCAGGATTAGAACCCACGATCTTCGGCTTGATACGCCGCTGCTCTACCACTTGAGCTATCGTGACCTTGATCCACTCGGACACCAACTTCCCATCTCAACCGCACCTTTTGAATTTTCCCTCCTTTTTGCCATATTTCATTTGAATCCTGCTCGTGCCATTGACTTTTTTATCTCAACTAAAAACCTTTCAACAAAATCAACAAATTTCATTTGTAATCGAGAATCCAATCCGATTACACGACATTTGAAAAATGGTAAAAAGGAGGGAAAATTCAAAAGGTGTGGTTGAGATGGGAAGTTGGTGTCCGAGTAGATCGAGGTCACGATAGCTCAAGTGATAAAGCAGCGGCGTATCAAGCCGAAGATCGTGGGTTTGAATCCCGCTTGTGCCATTGACTTTTTTATCTCAACTAAAAACCTTAATTAATTGTAATATATTTTATAATAATTTTATTGTTTTATGCTTACTTTAAAATTTGCATCGGCGATAGAGAGGTGTTCTTGGAGTAAGCTTCTTCAGGAAGAAAGTGCAGTGTAATTAGGAAGATCTGAGGGGAAAAAAGTTTTATTTTTTCAAAATTAAATAGTAGAAATTAAAACCATCTAACTTTTGATATTACCTTACTCCTTTGTCCCTTTGCAATGATCCATTCTTTAATATCCGCCTTTTCCAGTACGTCCGCCATTGTCACTTTCGTAAGTTTTTTCCTCAGGTGTTCAATTTTTTTCTCAATCCTTTGAAATTGAAAATATTAATTTGCATTAAATGACAATAATATATTAATAAAATTTCATACTTTGGGATGTCGCGTTTGAACGGGACTTCCATAGAAGGCGTTTTAATCGATTTCGACGCTATCATCAGGATTTCCCTCAACCTAGGGATCCCGAGTGTAACGTTCATTTCTCCCCTTCCTGTAAACATTCGATGTCTTCTCATACCATGTAACCATTAAAAAAAAGAAAAATCAAAAAAAATTACCAGCAAAGTGAAAAGTGTTGAGTGTCATCTGTGTCGAAGGTTCGCCGATACTCTGGGCGGCGAGTAGTCCGACAGGCTCGCCTGGAGCACACAGTGAAGTTTGAGACTTGAAATACATCATTTCCTTCAAAATATTCTCATCGACCGATTTGCTAAATTTAAAATACAAAATAATTAGTTTAAATTGATAATAATAATAATAATATGTTTCTTACTTAGTTTGTAAGTAGTTTTCGATAATAACGTCCAATTTTTCTGTGATGGAACCGAAATGTCTATCAGCTTGGAATTTTGAATTGACAGGATCCGGTTTTAACTTGTGAAGCTTTTTATACCTAAATCATTTTTAAATTAAGAAACAGGCTTAATGTATACAAATCTTAAGATTTTTACTTGTGTCTTTCATCTTCAGGCATGATATTCCAGCGTTTCATCAACTCTTCGGATGCTTTGCTCCTTCCGGTAGATGGGTTGTACCCAGTTATACTCAAGTTACCTTCCTTTTCCGAAAAAATGGAAAAAGGGCTTGACCTCTTGAGCCCAGCTCTTTTTCTGTATTTCTGGTTGGACTTCGTGAGGGACTTGATTCCCTTCATATTTGATGCCGATTTGAGCTGTTCTATCAAACTCGAATCGTACACCGAATTTAAGTTGTTTGCGAGAAACGGAATCTGGTGTTCGTTTAGAAACTGGCACTTGGTCACTTCCAAACCGTCTTCGCCGTAGAGGAACTGAATCACCGATCCATCTGAATCTCTAACAGTCATATCATATCCGACAGTTAAACCTTCTAGATGTTTCACAAGACATCTAAAAAAAAANATATACAATAGATAAAAATTATAGTGTATAAATGAATTTATAAGAAATGTACCTTTGTAGGTAGCCTGATCTGCTGGTTTTGACGGCAGTATCGATAAGACCTTCACGCCCGGCCATGCAATGGAAAAAAAACTCCTGAGGCTTGATTCCAGTCATGAAACGCCCATCGACGAAGCCTCCAGCTCGAGGTGAAGTATCATAAGGCGGAAAGCTCGGTAGCGATTTTCCCGATGCCATCAACGGCGGCCTTTTACCTTCCAGCTCGATCTGACCCAACAAGCATGATATCTGCATAGTATTGACGGTTGATCCTTTTGCGCCGGACTGCACCATCAGCTGTAAATTGTTGCCTGGAAAGGGCCGTAGAAGGCCTGCTGGGAGGCAAACCTTGTTGATGTCGTTTGTAACAGAGTCGAGCGATTTTTTATACTGGTGGTCCAAGATGGTCCTGAACATCGGATCTTTTCTATGAGACTCGTTCAGAACCTCCTGAATACAAGCACCGGGCGGTACATCAACAGTCTGGGTGACAATTTCATTACCAATTTTCCTGGCGTTTTTTATAATCTCTGATCTCTTTTTGTCAGCGTCTTTTACGACTAATATGTCTTTGACGCCTAATGTGAAGCCTTCAATTTGAAGAAACGCTGTGAAAAGTTTTGCGAAGGAGCTCAAAAGACGTGTCGCGATTTCACCCCCGTATAACTCATATGTGCAATGCACAAGAGAATATGGCGTCGCTCCGTAATGCATCTTGTCCAAAACACCACAAAGTAGTTCACCGTGTCTTATAATCACTTCAGCCTCAGACATAAAGTCGTCTTTGAACATCATACCTGATTTTTTATTTTCCCCCTTGCCCCAGGCTTTAGATGGTATTTTAGATTTTGAAGCTAAATTGATACCAGTGTTCGTTTTTGGGATGACATTGATTATGATAGTCGATATGATCTGTTTGCCGGACCAGAGTCGTTGGGGTTTCATTATGCAAGGCGGAAGTGTTTTTATATCGCCCTGGAGATAACTCAACCCTTGAAAAGCCAACTGCATATACTGTTCTCTGTTGAAAAACCGTCCCCGGGTCGTAAGCCGTACGCCTGATACCATATGATCCTGAATCAGACCGCTCAAAGGTGTTCCGTCCTTCGGCACTAAATACTGTTTACACGCGTTTACCAAATTGTACCCTTCGCTCCTTGCGACTTCATTCTGCGGGAAATGTGCGTTCATTTCATCACCGTCAAAATCTGCGTTGTAAGATTTGCAATTGGCATAGTGAAGGCGGAATGTCATTTCACCTTTCAACACCCTGGCTTTATGGGCCATTATAGAAGGCCTGTGAAGCGTCGGCTGCCTGTTCAACAACAATATATCACCATTTATCAAATGCCTGTGTAATATTTTAACACCGTGAACGTCCCCTGGGGTCAACAACCGCTTGGCAATACTTTCCCTCTGTGTAAGATCAAAAGGACACAACTTTAATATAGTACCATCTTCTTTTTCTATAAAATTCGCCCCGGGGTGTATTTCAGGCCCGTTTAAAACTAACTTTCTCAGGTCAGAGACATTCCAGGCCGTCACAGGCACTGGAAATGTGAGCTTCTTAGCAAAAGCTTCTGGCACTCCGATTTCATCGACGTTCAAATTAGGATCGGGCGTGATGACAGTACGCGCTGCGTAATTCACACGCTTTCCCATGATGTTCATGCGTATTATTCCTTCTTTCTTTTCTATGATCTGCTTCAGGCCTAGGCCATCAGGGTTCCTCTGTTTCTTCAGATCGATGTCCAATAGACAGTTCACGTTGTCTTGTAAAGCGGTCCAACTATGCTGGAGCTTCTGCTCATATGTCGTTCCTCTTATCCCTTTTATGAGTTTCACCTTCTCCTCTTCTTGTATATCTTCAGGGTTCAGTTTGTTGTTTATCATGTAAATCAAAAGCCTCAGCGTTATACAATCGAGTAGGATATTTTTGTAAATTGAATTCTGCGGATGTTCGACTATAGAATTGTTTACAAAATTAACAGGCCTGGCATTGTTCGGCGTAACAGGGAGTATTTCAAGGTATAAAGTGTCGATAGGGTTCACCTCAACTGACGCTTTAAGGATGGGAAGAAGTGCATCTAAAAACAGTTTTTCTTTATCGTAAATTTTGCCAAGCCACGTTTTCGATTCAGTAGGCATGACTTGAGTGAATCCACCGGCCGATGGAATCGTTTCATTAATTGACTTTCTCTTCTTCGATTTGTTGAACTTTTCCGCCGTGTTCAGCTTAGATGGGAGGAGAATTTTGTTCTGAAGGATCGTCACTTTTTTAATAGGGGATTTGCAAAATGCACAAAACGACGATTTGATAATGTGCGAAAGGACATTTTTAATATAGATATTTTTCAGATCGTTGTCGCCTTTCCACTCGCAGCTTTTCACCGGGCCTTCGGCCAAAACCGATTCAACGTATTTGACCAAACCGATCGTGTCGATGTTCAATATCATACTGGCCTTGTCGACTTTATAATTGGAGAAGCGTGTCTCAAGCTCCTGCGCTTCGATAAAGTTGCCGTTGTGAAGGAGGTCCATCTGGCCCTTGAACAACACCTTCACATCGTCTGGTATCAGTATCTTGTAACAGTTCAGACAGGATATCTTGATTATCATCATAACAGGCTTGATGAAGAGCGGGTTGAGGACAGGGAGCGGGAGCTCGATGTGGCCCATGTGGCCTGGACAGCGCACCTGCCTTAGCGAACAAGTCGTACAAACGGAATTGTGATCGACTGGGCCCATAGCCGAATCGTACACTCCGCCTGGCAACGGGTGATTCAGCATGTTAAAAGTTAACGGGCTGTGTACCTTAACCGCGCTCAATTTTTTTATCTGCTCCTTGGAAAAAGTGCCGAACTCCAAGCCAAGAGGTGAGCAGTGGCGCATGTAATCCAACTTGTCTATATCCATCTTGACTATATATTCAACCTTTATAAAAACAACTTAACAACAAAAAAGAAACTTCCGGGGAGGAAACGTATACCTTTTTTTAAAACTTTTCATTTATCTGCTTTAAACTTCCCCGATGATCCACTGTTCACTGACGACCTCTCCAACAGTCCAACAGCTACTCCTACTACTGTCTACTACACAGACCAGACCACAGTTCAAATCACGTGCCCAAGAAACCTCCCATCAAGTGTCAATCCGCCGGTGACGTCACAAGTTTATTGATTTTACCTCGTGTCATCCTTTCTGCAAGTTTATTGTAGGGAAAAACATCATCACAGGGCGTTCCTGCAATGTACAAGCTACTTTTTCTTGTTCTGGGTAAGCGGACGATTGTTTCAATAGCCCACTCGTTGTCTCGTTAACTCCCGAATTATTTAAAAAAAAACCTGTCAGGATAGAAATAAAATACACAAATATTAGTGTTTAATGATTTTCCTCTTATTTTGTACATGTTTACAAATGAATTTCAAACACAACATCATCAGTATTTCCCTAATGTGTAGATCAAGCTAAGAAATCATCAGTTTGTACCATACAAGAATCATCAATACATTGGCAATGTTTGTTAGCAACCTGCTACATACAAATACTTTTTTAAAAAATCCAGTCGACAGACTTAAAACTAAGTTGCACAGACTTTAAAACTAAAAGAAACTATGACAGCAATTCTGCGAGTCTGTTTATCAAACTGTTCCAGGATAGACGCTGATGATGGCATGGAGATGAATCACACGAACGACAATTAATTTATAAACAAATATGTCGTAAAATATATTATAGGCTATTTATCAAATAGTCAACTGTAAAGGACAATTTAAAATCAAATAAGTCCATTTTGCAATGTTTAATTATAAAATTTTCTTTTCTGGTCTGGCATACAACCATAGAACAGCCGCGAACAGAGTAACATTTCAATCATTTTCAGCAGGGTCTCACTGCTCCAGTATCAACCTACCCTCTGATGATAGCTTGAAAATGAATCATATTCACCAAACAGTTACTGGTTTGTGTATTTTGCTCTGTGGCTTAACACCTAATTACTGATGGTTCTAGTGGACTAGATTTTTCTGATTGAAAATAATCATCGACAGTCTTCAAGTAAAAGGATTATGAGTAGATCTTCTACTAGGCTGTTCTAGGATCAGTATAGATAGAATATGATGAAGACAAGAAGATAGTATTCATCAGACAGACAACAGACGTCAATGATTTCCCTGCATTTTCTTAATAAGCACCTGTTTATTGATCATTCTAGTAGACTAGACTTTTCTGGTTGAAAATAATAATCCATAGCCTTCAAATGGAAGGATTATGAGTAGATCTTTTACCAGGCTGGTCTAGGATCAATATAGACATTGATGATGGCATGAAGATGAATGGTATTCATCAGACAGTCAACAGATGTCAATGATTTTCCTGTATTTTCTTAATAAGTACCTGTTTACCGATGATTCTAGTGGACTAGATTATTCAGAGTTGAAAATCATCATCAATAGTTTCAAATGGAAGGATTATGAGTAGATCTTTTACTAGGCTGTTCTAGGATCAATATAGACACTGATGATGGCATGAAGATTAATTATATTTATCAAATTTGTGTAAAGGATGATTTATAATCAAATATGTCCAAGTTGCTTTGCATTCTTCTTAATTGATAAACTACAAGGCAAAAGCACACCCGATATTGATTATAACAATTTTTTTTTTAAATTTGCTGATGGTTTTTCTGCAAAGGATTTTCCTCAGGGTTGGACATAGTGTCATCACTAGACCTTAGGTTTTTAACTTACAACTTGTTTTAGAGTTTATTTATGTACGTTTGTACGTTATAATGCCTGGAGGATTTCAGTTTGGGTTTAGACTGCTGACTAGAAGCTTTAACAGTTTGATTCAGCTTTTTAACTTTTATAAGTTTAATCCTTCATACTTAATTCTAATTAAAAATTTGGTGGGTTTTATAAGAATTTCTTGCCTGTATTGATGTTGGAACATATAAAATATCTTAAACTTGAGAGATGCTAGTTTTATTTTTTTGTTTTTTGTTTTTACCGATGTAATTCCTGGATGCTTACAAATTGATCCTGTTGTTTTAGGCCCTTATTATGATACATGAATTATCTGTGATATAAGCCCTTCCACCATCAATGTCTGTGTTGATTTCAAGCCTGGTAAATGAAAGAAGTCTTAAATTGTCATTTTAACTTACAGTGGAGGCTTGCCAGAATCATTTTTTAATTTTTTAAATATTAAAGTTTAGGATTACAACATAGATAATAAGCAACGAGTCAATAGAGACTAGTGGTTGAAAATATTGATTTTTTAAAAAAGCTTTTCATGTTTTTTTTTCAGCGACTATTCACCTCTGTTCATCCTCGAGGGTCCTCGAGCTGAGTGACAGATTTCTTGAGATCAAGAAAGAAGGCCATTGGCTTATCATGGTGACTAGAAAATTTTATTGCTTGGTTGAATCTGAATGTTAATTAATTCTCTCCTTGCAGTTTTATGCGCCGTGGTGCGCCCATTGCAAGAGGCTTGAGCCAGTTTGGGCGCTTGTCGCTCAGTCCCTTTACAACACAAACATACGCGTTGGAAAGATCGACTGTATTAAATACCCTTTGATCTCGACGCAGTTCAGCATCAATGGATTTCCTACTATCATGTTGTAAGTATTATAATAAAAAAAAAAAAAAAAAAAATAACAAAAAGACAATTTCAGTTTGAAAGGGGATGAGAAGGAATTTGTTTTTCATGGGGAGAGGACGAAGGAAGAAATCGTGCATTTCGCCCTCAGGCTGAATGGGCCGCCGGTTCAGCAGATAACACGGCACGAGAGCATCGACACGCTCAAAGCTTCGCATAAAATTTTTTTTGTTTACGTTGGAAAGTTTGAAGGAAGCCTCTGGGTAATAAACCATAAATAATTTTTTTTAAAACTGTTTGAATTTTTAATTTTCTAATTTAGGAAACGTACTACGATGTCGCAGAGAGATTCCAACCGTTTAGCTTTTTCTATGCAACGGCGCCTGAAATAGCAAGAAAGGTGATTTTTTCTTCGATATTCCCTCGCATAAATTTTATATCGTCAAATTTTCCACTTTTACAGCATGTCACCTTGAAAGAGATTCCAACGGTGTTTGTCTATAAGGAAAATAGCCATTATATTTTTGAGGGTAAGTTTTCTTTCGGGTTTTTAAAATAAGTCTGTAGTGTTTTTGAATAATTCAATTTTGACAATTTTGTGTATTGAAGGTTTTTTGTAAATTTTAATTAAGGAAAAATAGTGCATTTTTGATATTTAACGTTCTTTTTTATTACTGCAAAGAAAAAACCGCAAGTCAGACTGCTGGGGAAATTTCTGATGGTTTATGGTAATGCTTTAGAAGAAATCACCATCTGTAAGTGGTTTGCTTGGTTCAAAAGTGGAAATTTTGATTTGGATGACGCAAAGCGCTCTAATTGTCCTTCAACGATGATGGCAAGATTCAAGGCCAAATAACCCACACTCAAGTACACGATGCATCTGAGAACAGCTGGATTTTCGGAGCGATGGATTCTTTCATCTGCGATTCCCTCGCGCTATCTTTGAAAAGGTTTTTTTTACAGTAGAAGATCAATTATTTTTAAAGTATCTGAATTTTCATTGAATTTACCATCAAAAAACCATACAGACTGATTTAATGACCCGCTGTTTTATAAATAATCATAAAAGGATTTTACGTTATTTTATTTTTTTCAGTTGACAAAGGAATGTATAATGATAGGATGAACCTGAATGTCAGCCTTTCAGAATGGGTCAATGCTGAAAGGTTCGGCACTTTTGTGAAAATAACCCGCGGCAATATACACCAGGTAGATTGAAAAAAATTAAAATAAAATAAATCAGCTACTCAAATATAAACTCTTAATTTTTTAAATATTTTTTAATACAGTACAGACAGACGAACAAAAATCTAGTCCTGGCCGTCGTTGCTGAAAATAAACTTGAGGAAGTGCCTGAAGAAATGGCAATGTAACAAAAACTATATGTATTTTAATAAACTAAGATGTTAATTAAATTTTTTTGTCATCAGATTCCGTGATATGATAAAATCTGTGATAGTCAACCACAGGGATCAGTTCCACAGGTGGTTCCAGTTCGGCTGGATCGGGAGTCCCGAGTTGGCAAACAGCATAGCCATGACCGAACTGCCTTTGCCGTACCTTATCGTCGTAAACTCGACTACGAACCACCATCACATACCAGATGACGAACCCAAAGTGCTCAACGTCGAGAACGTCAAGCTCTTCCTAGATTCTATACGGAATGAATCTGCTCCTGTATGTTGTGTTTAAAAAATATAAAAAAATCATATTTAGCTTGATTTGTAATTTAGTGCTATGGTGGTAACTCTCTGCCGATTCGGCTTTACCGGACGTATTTCGAGGCGAGAGCGTCACTCGCCGAAATGTGGAAGGGCAACCCTGTTCTGACGGCTGTTCTCTTCGGCCTTCCACTTGGCTTCCTCTCATTAATATGCTATTCAATCTGTTGTGCTGACATCCTAGATGCAGATGAAGAAGAGGAAGAACCTTTACTTAACGGTAGAGATATAAATTTATTTTTTTAAACTGATTTATAAATTAAATTAATTATAAAATTTTTCTTTTTCAGAATTCTCTCATGAGAAGAAAGAATAAAACTTTTGTGCCTCAAAGGCATACAAATAGCTAGTCACTTCCAAAGAAAGAAAAAAAATCAGACAAGGGTAAATGGTAATAATACTCTTGCGTTAATATTCTAATTTTATGATCAAAATATCGTACATCCCCCCTTTTTTTATTTATAAAAATAGACCTTTCTTTTTTATTTTAATTTATAAATCTATCTAATCTGGGGAGTATTATAGGAGTATCGATTAAATGGTCCAATATGAATGAATGTGTAGCGAGATGACCCGATTATTAATAAAGTAAAGTTAGAAGAGTTAATTAAAAAATAAATAAATAAGATGAAGAACGGTAGTTCTCCCTCAATTCGTGAGATTTGTTGTGAAATATAATTAAAACTACATGTCGAGTTCCTAGAGAGGTCCGATGTGCTTTTCGAGCCGAAACATTATCAGACAAGACAAAAAATAAAAATACGGCTCCAAAGCTAAATGCTTTTTATTTCATTCCACTCCCTCATATAACGCAGAGAAAATGCTGTGAATATTACATATTTGTGTTCCAGGGAAAACATTTTCTATTGTAATCTAATGGCTGTTTTTATAAATCAATATTCTTTTCAATAAAAAAACAAAACAATAATAATAATAATAAAAATTACTTTCCAGCTTTATTCCTCCCTCCCCCTTTTATTGTTTAAACAATTTTGAAAGAAAATACCGATTTATAAGAATTGGTTCAATGACATACTTAAAACAGAAAAAACATTTAGATTTATTAAGCGGTTTAGCAGTCTTAAAAAAAAATGTGTTGACATACCATAAATCCTAGAAAAATAAAAGAGAAAAACAGTGCTGTACAAAAATTAAATAAACAAAAATGGAACCCCATGGAACGATTTCGAAACATTTCCATGCATACCAGGCTTTATCAATGAGGGTTCGGAGACTAGTCACCATCGGCAGATCTTCAAAGGGGTCCACTGATGGGGACTGCTGTCGTATGAGATGACTTTGGTGTTCTTCAAAGTGGGAGGCTGTTTATAATAGAAAAACCTTTTGGAAGTTTTAAATTACTATAAGAAAAGAAAAAATAAGGAAAGGAACTCACTAGGGAAGTATGCCTCAAGCTAAAAGACTACCAGTTTATGCCATAAAAAATATTAAAGAGGTAACTGGCAAAAAAATTTCTTAAAATCAGACGACCTAGTCCTAAAAGCATTTAGTATGTAAAAAAAAGGTCACATACAAAATAGGAATCCACAATTTGGAAAAACATAACAACCTTGTTGTTGATGATAAACCTTGTAAGTTGAGTTCCAGTGCAGAAAAACATTCTGGATGATGAATAAGCAAACTAACTGGTCAGAGGAGCTGCATACCTAGGCGCATAACCTATATATTGGGATAATAAGATCAAACATTGACTCCTCTATCTCAGAATGGATCCTCAAAAAACAAGAATTGGATTAATTCCAGAGATGCCAGACACAGAAAACTTAATGAACTCTCATCAAAACTGGTAAACACATTGCTACAGCTAGAGAAGGTACTACACAGAGTGATATGACCGGTCATCTGAGAAAACACCGACACAACATTCAATGTCCTCATTGATAAAACTGCCACCCAAGTCATCTGCTCAATGGAGACAAAACTAGGGTACCAAGAAGACCTAGTAAAAAGATTTGCTGCAATGACTTCTTAAGAAAGATTGAGTAAATTGAACTAGGATAAGTTCAATAAGACAAAAGGTTGCTGTGCTTGGGTAAATCCTTTTTGGTGGCCACCTGCATTTACCACGGTACCCACTAGGTGACATCACCAGTTCTGGAATGGCCTTGCGCTATCCACTCTGCATCCAATCAGAACAGAGTATTTCGTTTATATGCAGGGGCGCTGCCTCAATGGATTCAGACTTGTCTCTTTAATGAGATCTGAACAATTGCTAAAGGATACCGACATCAGCAAGGGTACTCACAGCATTAGCCTCGACCTCGCCTTCTCAACAAAGCTGACTTGGGTACAGGGCAACTGCTGCACCAAAGTCCCTTCAACCGCTGCAGAGTCAACTGACTCACTATTTGCATGGCCCCAGACTTCAGCCAATGAACCTCTACCAATCGTTCACACAGTCCGAGCCTCAACCATCAGCTCTGCACTACACAACACTGGCCCTTGACAGGGCCACCAAAGCACTCCCCGTCACTAAACCCTTGCTTCTTAGTATCCTTATCATTATCTTCATGCAGCATTAATCAAACTCCCAATGGAGACAACTTAGAGACCTTAACTTGATTTATGTTCGTCCACCTTGTTCTTTTATAGTTTACTACATTTTTGACCTAACTAATAATTCAATTTTATTTCTACCTTAAGGAAACTTTTCATTGAATCACAACAGAATATTATTTTCTTTTTTTTATTTAAAAGATTCTTGGATGGCAACGTCTTAAGCTACCTTCTATTTTCCTTTTGAATTATGTTTGTCCATATCATTTTTTTATAATTTTCTTCATTCTTGGCCTAACTAATCATCAAATTTTATTTTTTGCTTTGTTTTATCTTCACTGCACCACAGCACACGTTTTCTTTTTTTTTTTATTTAAAAAGTTCCTGGATGGCAATGTCTTAAGCCACCTGCTATTTTACATATTTTGGTTTATTTTTGTTCTTTTATAGTTAATTTTTGGCTAACTAATAATTCAATTTTTTTATTGGCTTTGTTTTCCTTTCACTGCACCAAACCCGATACGTATTGTTTCCTTTTTTTAGTTTTATGATTTAGAAGGCTACATGAATGGCAATGTCTTAAGCCACATTCTATTTTCCTTTTGTATCATGCTGGTCAACCTTTTTCTTTCATAAGTTTACTTCATTTTTTATTCCACTAGTAATCCAATTTTATTTTTTTTTAGCCTTGTTTTCCTCTCATTTCACCACAGACAAATTGTTTTACTTTTTTTAAAAATTTTATTTAGTAGGCTCCTGGATGGCAACGTTTTAAGCCCCTTTCTGAGTTCTTTGCGAACTGCATTGATACTTGATAAATACTTTAATTTTTGTCTTAATTTTTTATTGTCATTTCTTTTGAGCTTGTGTCAACTGCATTTAACCGTATTGCACACGACCAAATTGGCACTCTTCACCTTTAAAACTTGTGTGACTATCACAATTAAATAATGAAATAAAAACTGAGATTTCTATCACATTTGGTAGAATGATGCTGCAATCAGCATGCTGAATTTTGTTTGCAGAAAAAAAAAACAAAAAAACTTTTCATATCACTATTCTAATTTTATTCCAACACTCGTCACAATCGTAATTGCACTTTGAAACTTTTCAATTTCGACCACTCCACTGTCACCAAGCACTGTTTCCAAGGTAAAATCAACTAGTACTGCGAATAAAATTATTTATTTTTTTTGTAGTTTTTTTTTTTTTTTTTTAAATAAATTTAAGTTTATGCATAAATTGGAATTTTACAAAAGAATATCTGAATACTTATGAGTATTGACATGTTTATAATTTTTTATATAAACAGCTTCTGAAATATTTTTCAGTCTTCTAGAAAATCTAGTTATAATTATATAAAAAAAAAGGGTAACTTATGAAAAAATAATGAGTTTCATGAATGTAAACTAATTAGGAAAACCTAGTCTAATATTTTTTTTTTCTTAGCAAAATAATTAACAATAGCTTGCTTTTTTATTAAATTTTTTTTTTTAAATAAAATAATTTTTGCACATTAAAAAATGAAAATAAATCACAGATAACTTGGGATATTAAAAAGAATAATATGTACATAATTGTTTTTTAAAAAAACTTAGTCATTTTTGATGTATACACCATCCTTCTGAACTTGGGTTCGGAGGAGACGTAGTCAGGCGAATTGCTTATGTCGTCGTACCTCCGCCTGTAAATTGGAGATCGAGATGTTCTTTGGTATCTTGGTGGGCTGATACTCCTTGACCGGCTCCTCGAACACTGCCTGTGTTTCCAGTCGTGATACTGTCTCGGATAGGAACGCCTTTTGTACGGTTTTTCACCGTAGTCGTATCCCTGGTTGAAGTCTTTGTGATAATTGGGCTTGTCTCTCCTGTGAAAGTCTTCCTCCCTTCTTTCGTACCTACGGGTGTAAAACTGTTTCGGATCATCATCGTGTGACCTACGCTCTTTGTAGTGATATTCGCTGCTTTTCCTCCTTTCGAAACTCTTGTGATAAGCCTGCCTGTCATACGGCGACGGTTCGTCTTCGGCCTGATCTGGTGAAGCCGGACAGGGAGCTTCGCTCACCGGCGGTATTTGTTGAATTACAGCTGAAAAGTCATTTTCGGACTGGTGGAAATGCAAATGTACCTCTTTTCGAACAGGGCAGTAATTCTGTTCTATGACTGTATTACACATGTTAGCCTGAGGATAATAATTGGGCATTCGCGCAGGTGGATAGTGTTCGGTCTGTGCGATCGGGGATGCCCTGTAATCGATGTCCTGTACAGGAGATTGGAAGTCGTTAGTTTGCCTAGCGTTATATGAATACGTTGGAGGCTCGATGTCATTTCTGCAATTTACAATATGGCTCGTATCCCTGGATGTACATGGAAGGCCGGTGTCATACAGTCCATCGGGAGACATATTCATGTCACCTTTGTATGGCCGATTCAACACCACCCTTCTCTGTTGTATGTCTAACCCTGATTCCAAAAGTTTCCTCTCTTCGTAGAATGATTTTTTCTGATCCCAACTAGTCAATTCAGTTCTTGAACCACTTCTTTCTGTCAAAGCGAGCATTTGCTTTTTTGGTAAAGCTCTGTTGTAAGAGAAGCTTTCTTGTTTCTCACTGTGCAGATCCGAAAGCGGTGTTTTATATAACAGCTCTCTATCCACACTTTTCCTTCTTTTCCTAACTTCAGTCTTTTTACTTGACACTTGATCTTTTTCTTCTCTGTCCTGCGCCTTATCAACTTCTATTTCCTTCTTCTGTGAATCTTCTTTTTTCCTCATTTGCTCCTCTTCGTCCTTTTTCCTCTGAGACTCCAGTTCCATCTTTTTCATGGCATCCTGCTTGATGTTCAAAAGC